CACAAACGTAAATATTGTTTGAGATAAAATTTCTGAGTATAGTAATAATTTCTGAGCCTTTAATTTTTAGATTGTTAGCTTAGGTTTTTATAATATTAAATATTAATAAATTAGATATAATATTATGTGTAAATATTGTTTTAACTTTTTTGTTTAGTATTTCTTGACAAAAATCGGATTAAAATGATATACAGTATTCATTTCAAAAACAAAACAAAAAGACATTTTTGTGCACCCTCCAATCCAAATATTTTAGTTTACAGAACGCATAAAAAGCATTTATATGTGAAACAAATTTCGAACGAATTTAAAAAATACTTATTTAATATCATTGTTAAACGTTACCAACAACACTTCAAACAACCATACTTTTTGCAAATTTATTTGAATGTAATATTTAACAAAACGGAAAAAATTGTCATTACGGGCTCAAGCACACATGCGAGTTTATAAGCTACTCATCAGCTTTTTCACAAGCAGCTCGTAAACTATTGCAGTGTACTCCATGCACTCGCTCCGTTAGCTGCTTGTAAAAACGCTCTGGAAAAAGTTGAACTTTTGGCGACTTGACACGCTACTCGCGGACTTTTAAGCGAGCTAGCTTGTAAACTAGTCATGTGTACTCATAGAAGCTTGTGCACAAGTGGCTAGTAGTATAGCAAAATGTCGGAGAAGCTAGTTTAAACGACAGTTGCAGTTATTTGTAGCTGAAGTGATTAAAAACAAATTAATTAGACAACAAAAATCAAAACGTACATAACAAAAACCTGTGAGTAAAACTATGATATATTGAGTATGATGTACTAAATACATTACTCAAAGAGCTAAGGAAAGAAGATCCTATAGTTCATAGAAATACACTCACCGGCAAAATTAACGGAACACCTTAAAATGGGACATCTTTAATCTTTAATTGCTGTTAAAGCCAAAAAATGCATAAAAAACCAATTTAAGTTCAAACTGTACAATAAAGTTAATGCGTTTAAAATCCGTATTTTGTTGAGTGGGACATCTTTGTGTTTTATTTCTCCTTAAACAGGTTTTATATTGTACTACCATTGTAATATAAATTCAAAATACTTCACCAACATTCGTATTATGATATTATCTAAACAGTATATAGACTAGAGAGAAAATACTAAGATTTTATGGTTGTTCTTTTAAATATGCTGGTGAAACTAAGAAGAAAATGAGCATTTATTGATGAAAAACATGGCTAGTTGTTAACGTACCTAACTGTTTTATTATCCAACACAAGCAAATGAATCAAAAAAGAAAATGTTAAGAAAACCTGAGACTATAATTAAGCTTTAATTTCAATATTTTATATATGCTAGAATATTCCACAGGGTGTTTCGAACTTTAAGGAAAAAACACAGTATGATTGTTACACCCGGTATAAAATGACATTGACCTGCCTAGCAACAATATTATTTCATTGATATTCTTAAATAATATACCTATAACATACTAAAAAAATCACTAAAATCGGACAACGGGTTTAGGAAATTCGAGTCATCTAACATGTCCCATTTTGAAGGTGTTCCGTTAATTTTGCCGGTGAGTGTATTTACCTTTTTACCTTATATCTTTATATTTTACTTATTTAAAATTAAATAGATATCTTTATTTTTACACAATTTACATTACCTGATTTTCCCTCAAGGGGAAAACTCACTCATCCCATATACATAAGGTATCAAAAGATTGAGCTCTGGTGAGACTCTTTCCACGATATCGAGCCCTAGGTGACTTGGTATGTTGGAGTATCACCCAAAAATTTTTGTACACATCTGGACGTCACGAGGAGTATAGCTTTCTTACAGCTTATAGAGACGTTCATTTAGACCCAGCTGTTTTATGTTCTCTAGGAGGTTTTTGGGAATAACACCAGTAGTAGATAGAATAGCAAGAGCAAAAATTGGCAACGAACTCACTGAAAGCGTGCAGATCAAAAGAGGTGTCCGTCAGGGGTGTATATTATCCCCACTCCTATTCAATATGTATTCCGAGGAAATATTTAACAAATGTATGGAAAATGCAAATGAGGGCATTAAAATAAACGGCGAGTTAACGAACAATATAAGATACGCTGACGACACGGTGATCCTTGCCAGTACCATAGACGAATTACAACAAGTAATGGAAATAATTTATTCAGTTAGTGAGGAATACGGCCTGAGCCTCAACTTCAAGAAGACAAAGTGGATGCTGATAAGCAAAAAGCAACAACCTGCTCGACAATTACGGATAAGTAACATATTAATTATTGACCATGTAGAATCTTATGTGTACCTTGGCACCAACGTAAATGCAAAATGGGAACAGACCATAGAAATTAAGGCGAGAATAGAACGAGCTAGAGCAGCATTTAGCAATATGAAAAAAGCTCCTCATAAGCAAGGATTTGTCTCTTCCCCTAAAACTACGTATAGTTAAATGCTACATTTTTCCGATCTTGCTGTATGGCGTGGAGGCCTGGACGCTGACGGAGACGCTAACGAGAAAACTAGAAGCATTCGAAATGTGGGTGTACCGACGCATTCTTCGTATATCCTGGACCGAACATGTCACCAACATAGATGTACTCCAAAGAATCGGAAAGGAGAAAGAAATCGTGAATACAATTAAACAAAGAAAGCTTGAATATCTAGGCCACATATTGAGACACGATAAGTACCGTCTGCTACCATTGATTGTCCAGGGAAAAATAGACAGTAAGCGAGGGCCAGGCAGGAAAAGACACTCGTGGCTCCAAAATCTGCGGAAGTGGTTCGGGCTCACATCGGTCGAACTTTTCAGAAGCGCCGCAAACAAGATCAAAATTGCCATGTTAATAGGCAACGTTCTCAGCGGACAGGGCACTTGAAGAAGAAGAAGTAGATAGAATAATAGCTACTGTCTAGGCACTTTCCATTCTTCATTATCGCCTGCTTTGTATTCCTAGATCTCTGTAGTTTGCGATCTTTTCATTGTATTAAACACGTAAATTATTGGTGTTGGGTATCGCCACATCAATAAGTGTTGTTTGTCTAGTAAGTTTATTAACTAGTATGAGATCCGGTCTATTATGGGCCACTGGTTGGTCTGTAAGCACAGTGCGGTCCCAGTATAGCTTGTAGTTGTTATTTTCAAGCATTCTATCAGGGGCGTATTGATAATAAGGAACATGGTCGGTTTGGAGAAGTCCCAGCTTGTGAGCTAGTTCTTGGTGAATAATCTTTTCTACTAAGTCATGTCGTTCTTTATAATCAGTACCGACAAGCGCCTGGCAGCCACAGGTAAGATGTTGGATACTTTCTTGGGCTTGGCATCCATATCGGCATTTATCATTTTGTACTTGAGGATCTTTTACAATATATTTCATGTTATTTTTAGTTAGAATAACCTGATCCTTAATGGCAAGTAGAAAACCTTTAGTCTCGGGAAACATCTCTCCTGATATCAACCAATAGTTCGACGATGTATTGTCGACATATTTTTGGCTGATCTCATTGAGATGTAACCTGTTAATCCAGTTGCTTACCTATGTCCATAAGTTCTCTTCCCTCTTGATACCGCCGTAATGTTGTTCTCTCTACTTCACTGGGTGGATGATGTTTTTGTTTGTGAGAAGTATTCTTACTTTCCGCTGAAGACCCTCTATATCTGAGAATAAACGGAGAGTTTTTGTTTTAATGTGTCTAGGCAGTGTTAAGCTGTGTTATTTTTTGGATCATATCGTGAGTGTCTTGAAATGTTCAGAATAATTTTTTCAGCTTTTTTAGTTACTTTTCGACTTCATACTCCTCGGATGTACTCGGTAATGTTGTTCTCTCTACTGCACTGCGTGGAGGATGGTTTTGCACCCTTGTGAGAAGTGTTCTTACTTTCCGTTCAAGACCCTCTATATTTGTTTTTGACCACTTTTTAATACCAAATGAGTAGCTTAGCGCGGAACAGGCGTACGTATTTAATGCTTTTAACAAATTTTTACTATTAAGGTATGACCGATTTAGTGGTCTTACTCTTCGCATGAACTCCGAAGTTAGTTTACAGTTTTCATATTTGTTTTTCATTTATGTACGTATCATTTTCACGCATTACCTTGATGTTTTGGCCATCTTGCATATCGAAACCTCCGGGCTGAACCTCCTCTGACTATATTTAGTATACGGCACTTGTCTAGTCCAAAATGCATACTGATATCATTTGGTCAGTAGAGTTCAGCAGCTGAGATAGTGGGTAGAATCATCTAGGTCATCGCTAGGCAGAACCAAAGTGGACTCAACCACTTGGAAAAGGCCCCGGTTAATAGAGATATCTTCAGTTTCCATATTAATTGCACCAGGTATTTGAAGATGAATTTTAGTCTTCCACTCTGCCATTATATGCTTCAAAAATGTCACGAGATTATCATCGACTTGATATATTTTCAATATATCTATAAGCCATTCATGCGGCACTGAACCAAAAGCCTTCTTGTAGTCAATGAAGGCAGTAAAAAGGTTTCTTTTTTTGGTGTATGCCTGGTTAGAAATGACTAAGTCGATAATAGGTTGTTCTTTGCATCCCATGGAGCCCTTAGCGCATCCTTTTTGTTGGAGGCTCTATGATATTGTTTGGAGCACAGTGAACTATTAATATTATTATTAATATTTATTTATATATATTTATTTATATATATAAAATAGGGACTTCGAGATAATATCAAACTTGACTAAAAAGAAGGCATAAATAAACAATATTCTTTGGTACTCAAAATATCATTTTGGTGAATCGAAATTCATAAATAAATTTATTACGGTACTGTACATTTAAAGTAAAATTGTCGACAATCCAATTCAAACAATCCAAGCTAATCAAATAATAGCAGTCCGTCATTTGAACCCAGCTTTTATTTATTTATTTTCAATGAGATAACCTTTCTAGTCCCATAGAATAAATATCTTAGAATCACAAATACATCCTTAAAAGTTTGTTTCGAGATTCTCAGTACTAAGTGCTTTGGAATAACCTGAAGTTCTTGAAACAATAAATATCATAAATATCTTGATGGTATAAATTCGTGGTTTGAGTTGTTTTGTTGGTTATTAATTTTTGACCTACCGACGAACACAGTTTTTATTTTGTTATTAACATGTAAGTATTCTATTTGTTGTATATTTTCCAAAAATGATAATAAACCGGTCGAATTCTATTGTTATTCTGGTTTTTGGTGTTTACAATTAAATTTACATTTTTAATATATAAATATAATCAAAATATTAATTAGTGAAAATGTGTGTCTATGTTAAAAAACATTATTTTATAAATATTTCATTAATGGGTTTTTCCATTGCATTGGACAAGTTAATTTTAGATGATTTTACCATTTAATGACATTTTTTATCTCATGAACAGTTAGTAAAAAGTATTATTAGTTATTACCTTAACCGGTCACTTCTTTCCATCGTCTGCTTCCAACCTTTCACTTTTAGAAATTTGAAGTGATCTTATTTTTTTGTATCATATTGAGATTTATTTATTTCTCTCAATGTTTTTTTTCTGAGATGTTATCTACAAATCTGAGCCATATCAATCTTCAGCTCCCAGCTATCTAATTTAAGCTTAGTATTTTTGTCAATATAGCTGAGTTTTCGCTTGCATAATTTACACTGATCAAAACAAAAAGTAGCCTCTAATTTAATTTAATGTAAATTGGTTATTCCATCAGGTAGAAACTTAAATATTTAATTTTACCCCATAGACACATATAGTATTCATAAATGAAAGAAAAAAAAACGAGTTCCTTATCTCCCTTTTTCTTGTATTTAAGAACAAAGCAAAACTTAATATTATTTTGAAATCACATTTATTTCGTTATTGCTCTCAAGTTAGCAAGACAAGATATTCTTCTTCGTCCTGGGGCCCTTTTTCCTTCATTTTTACCTTGTAAAATGCATTGAAGTAGCTCGTATCTGCCCTGATTTCTTATTATATGATTCAAGCACTGCAACTTACGGCCCTTCACGATGTTGAGTAAATCCGCAGTTGCATTCATCCTCCGCAATACTTCTTCATTGGTGACTTTTTCTATCCACGGTATCTTCAAGATTCTTCTGTATGACCACTGCTCAAAAGCCTGAAGTTTTGATAGAGTTTTCGCCTTTAATGTCACGTTTCTACTCCGTACAGAAGCACTGAGTCTTCTTCTTAATGTGCCCTATCAAGTCCCCTTGACGTTGGCGATTAACATGGCGAAACTGTCTCTGTCTCGAGCTATTCTAAATAGTTGCTCAGCTTTCTTTATTCCTGTCCACTGAGCACACATAAGCACTGAGTACACATATCATTTAAGGAGCCTTATTTTTGTTTCTAGGGTGAGGTCATAGCCCTTGAACACAGAACTTATAGTCAAAAATGCACTATTTGCCTTTCCGATGCGACATTTAATCTCTTCGGTATTGTCTCACGACTTATTGATTATTGTTCTGAAGTAGTTGTATTGTGAGACTCGTTCAATTCTCATTTAATTCACATACAGATTTGCTCCAGTTATGTTTTCCTGACTCATGATCATAAGCTTGGTTTTGCTTGTGTTTATATCCAGTCCATATTTTCTACTTGTTTCCGTTATTTTGTTCAATAAGTTTTGCTGTATTTTTTGCCTCTCCCTCTAATTTATTGAAGGTTTATTTTACATTGGTGACGGTATTTCCTACAATGTCAATGTCATCCGCGTATGCTAGTAGTAATTTTGGTCCATTTACTGTCAGTAGTTTTGTTCTAATTTGTGCGGTTGTTACTACTTTTTCCAGAATGATATTAAAAAAAAGAGGTGACAGCGCGTATCCTTGTTTCGGTCCACTGTTTATTTCAAACGACTCTGAGAGCTTGTTACCTATCCGCACTCTAGATCTACAGCCATTTACACAAACTTTAACGAGCTGGATAAGTTTTTTTTTGAACTGAAAGTTCTGCCATTGCATTCCTCATCTGATCCCTTTTAATGCTGTCGTATGCTTGTTGGAAATCTATGAAGAGATTATGAATGGTTCTATTGAATTCCCATTCTTTTTCAAGCAGCTGCCTAAGAGTAAAAATCTGATTGCCATTTTGTTGGTATTTTCTCTTCGTTTTATATAAGTGTTATTAGTTTGTGTAATTGTCTATGTAAAGTTTCTCCTCCGTACTTAAGAAATTCGGCTGGTATATTGTCAGAGCCTGGAGCTTTTGCGTTCTTCAATTTGTTAATTGCTGGCAATGTTTCGTCTATTTTTGGGTACTCTACCGGTAGGTCCACCCCAAGATATATATTCTCTCCATGTTCTTCATCTTGGTGTATATTAAGTAAATTTTTGAAATATTCTTGCTATGTTTGGAGTAATCCTTGTTCGTTGATTATTAATTCATCATTATTTTTCGTCAGTACAGACACTTCGCCTGGAATGACTGTTGGGTGGATCGAGTAGCTTAACAGTCATTCTTGCCGGTCCCAAGCCCGGATAAAAGAGGAGGGTTAAGCGGAAGGCTAACAACCTGCCCTTGTAAAAAACAGCCTGTTATGAAAACTGCAAATGCGCCTCGTAATCGAACAGATACATATGTAAAACGACAATCGCAATGGACAAGGACTTTAAATGTTGGAACGTGGAACGTTTTAAGCTGGTACCGGACAGGAGCAGCCATACACGCAGTAAAACAGTTAGAAAAAGTAGAAATGGACATTACGGCAATACAAGAAATAAGGTGACCGGACAATTGAAACATAAGAATAGACAAGGCGGTCATTTTCTACAGCGGAAACCAGACAGGAAAACATGAATTCGGCACAGGTTCGTGGTCCGAGAAAAATACTTAAACAGTGTTATAAGTTTTACGCCCATCAGTGAGAGACTGTGTTATATTAGACTGAAAGGAAAATTGTACAATATCTCAATTATATCCGCACATCAAAGATGACTTCTATGAGCAAAATTGGCAAAGAACTTAACCTAAGACCGACAATAGGAGAACACAGTCTCCACGATATCTCAAACGATAATGGATAAAGGCTCGTAGAGCTAGCATCGGCTAACAATATGCTTGTAAAGTCTACTATGTTCCAACATAAAAACATTTATAAACAGACTTGGGTCTCTAATGACAACTCCACACGGAACCAAATTGACCACATAATTGTTGATGCTAGGCACGAAAGTAATGTCCTTGACGTAAGAAGCCTCAGGGGCGTAGATGGAGATACAGAAAATTACCTAGTAAGAGCAAAAATCAGGTTGAGAATATCATCACAGAAACTTAAAACGAACGAAGCATTGGGACAGTGGAACATTAAGAAAACGCAAAATAAGGAAATCCAAGACAATTACGTACAGGAAATGGAACAACATCTAAATAGAATAGACCAGAGCAATGATGTCGAAAGGCTGTGGCAACAACTGAAAAAATCAATTACAGAGTCAGCGAAACTAATAATAGGAAAAAGAAAGACGAAAACAAGGAAATGGTTTGATAAAGAATGCCAAGAAAAACTACAAGACAGACAAAAAAAGCGAAACATTATGCTTCGACAAGAAACAACAGAAAGTAAAGAAAACTATACAACATCACGACGAGAAACAAGAAAACTAATTAGAGGGAAAAAAAGACAATACGAACAACAACAGTATGAAGAAATGGAAAGAAATAGACAACAATCAAATAGTCGAGCATTTTACAAATCTGTGTCAAACGAAAAGAGAGGATTCAGACCTAACTGCGTGTCTGTACTGTGTCTGTTTATACAATATTTCCGTATAATGTCCATTTACTTGAGCTTTATCACAAGTTTAATATCATTGACTGCTGCATATCTTTTTAATGTAACACTTATAACATCTTTTCCATGCTTGTGTGGTTTTCATATTGTACTTTTTAGATGAACTGATGATATTTTCAGAATACGACAGCGAAACGTCTTCAAAATAGATAAAGTAGCCATCAACTTTGTCTTTTTATTTCTCCACCTTGAGACCGATATAAAACGCACCACTCATCTGAGTGATCCTTATTATATATATATATATATATATATATATATATATATATATATATATATTTATATATATATATATATATATATATATATATATATATTGATAGATGTGTAAAATTATCATAAGAAAACATTTTTACTGTAATAAATATTTAAATTTGCCACTTTTGTATGCCAATTTAATCTGAAATAATTAAACTTTCTTATGTAATAATAATATCTGGAAATTAAAGACCAAGAATTCATTTTATATTACCAAAGAACACATCTTGTGTGCATTTTTTTTTTCAAACAATTTAAACCAAAATATTTTTTTCTGAATTATAACTGGTAAAACTAACTTGTTAAAAACCCTGTATAATTTTGAACTATTATTTCAAAAATCTTATTAATGTAAGTTTTCTAAAAATTGTTATGAAAAATGTGTGATTTTAATAAGAAATGGACAGATAACCTGTTTCGCATAAGTACAAACAAACTACTGATATTATTTTGTTTATATTTTTCTACCGATTATTTTTATCTTACAGTATTAGTGGTCTATTTTTTTTTTAATTACATATAGAAATATATATATATATATATATATATATATATATATATATATATATATATATATATATATATATATATATATATATATATATATATATATATAAAAGAAAGACAAGGTAGTCCAAAATTTTTTGACTAGTTTGGAAAAAATATGTAAATACTTTTTTCTTTTTGGGTGTGGTAGTCAATAAAAAATAGAGCTTTGCTAAGGCGTACTATTTATTCTGAAATCCGAGCTTTCGGTGGTTATTTGCCACCTTTATCAAGGTCTACAATGAAAATTACTGTGTTATAACATTAGGCTTCTGGTAAGTTTTTATAACTTTTATATTACATCAGCCTAATGTTATAACACAGTAATTTTCATTGTAGACCTTGATAAAGGTGGCAAATAACCACCGAAAGCTCGGATTTCAGAATAAATAGTACGCCTTAGCAAAGCTCTATTTTTTATTGACTACCACACCCAAAAAGAAAAAAGTATTTACATATATATATATATATATATATATATATAATATATATATATATATTATATATATATATATTATATATATATATAATATGTGATTAATTTCTTTCTCAATTTTATTTACTTTCAATTCGTAAATATTTTGATTACATTACAATTTTGGATGGTTTGGAGGAAAAGTAATATGTATAAATAAATCTGATTGCTTGATTCCATTTGCCATTTTTACATGCTTTGAAGTGTATTATACAAGTACAGAAACCTGAAAGATATTCACAAGAACGAGCTTCATCTTGTAAATAGTTTACGTTTTCTGTTCATATGTCATCACCGGTTTTGATCCATTTATGCAGCCCAGATATTGCCACGGTTTCGTATATTACCATGGACAAACATCGATTTTTATAGATAATTAATATCTTTTATCTTTTTTAGGAAATACAAAGTTTTATGTATTTGCCTTGTGGTTTTATTTAATATAAAACCAGGGAAATGTGCTACAGGAGATGTCAGCTTCATAATTTTTTCAGATAATGAAAACAAAGGACATTTAATAGTAAGTAATATACCACTTTTATAAAATTACTATTTTTATTGGGAATAAGTTGTAACTTAAGGTTTACAACAATGTAAGTTAAAAATAAGTTTATTTTTGACGTTTCAACTTCCACGTCAGAAATGGTTCTCTAATTAAGATGCCACAAAATAGCTTTAGAACAATACCACTTTTATAATTTAAATTTTTTTTAATATAAAGTCAATTTTCGGAAACGTGTAAATGTGAAAAACAGGAACCCTTTGTCAAAGGACTTTAAGCTATTGTGCAGACACATGGAGAATCACGGAAAGTAATATGGAAAAAATATATACATATAAACTTAAATAATCTACAGTGGAGTAGCAAAAGAAAACAGGGCCAAAGAAGGTGTAGCCCTACTAATACACCAAAGGTACCAAAATCATATCAAATAGTGTCAATACATATTAGAAAGAATAGTAACAGCAAAGATAAGCATAGAGAAGAAAGACCTGAACATCATTGCAATATACGGCCCAGCAAATAATAAACCTCAAACAAGAAGGGAAGCATTTTACAACCAATTACAAGAAGTAGTAGATCAAGTCAGAGGAAATATGATAATATTGGGAGATTTTAACGCTCGAATAGGCAAACAAGTAATACCCGGCATCAAATTAAAACATATTGAGAATATTAAAAACGAAATGGAGAACTGATGATCAAATTCTGCACGAATAACGAACTAAGAATCAACAACATATTGTTTAACCACAAAGACCAACACAAATATACAAGCAACACCCGTGGACAAAGATCTATGATAGATTATATTATAACCAACAGAGATATACACCCATCAGTAGTAATCGACGTAAGATGCCTCAACTCAGTAGATGTAGGTAGCGACCATAGGCTAGTATTATGTAAAATAAGAATAATCCTGAAATACTTCCCAACCAAGAGAACGGCGCCAACACAAACAAAAATCAGCGTCTAAGGACTAAATACGAAATTCACGGAATACCGATACAGGAAAAGAATATTAAAGAAGATCGCTGGGAATGAAATATTAGAAAACGATAAAATCGAGGAAAGCCGGGAGAAACTGAAAAATAATGTAATTAACTCAGCAACAGAATCACTTGGAGAGAGGACAACGAACAATGACATTTCAAAAAACAAAAAACCATGATTTAGAGAGGAAGTGAAGACAAAATTTAAAGAAAAGAAGAAAGCCTTTTTACAATTCAGAACACAACAAACACAACAGGCATATAACCACTAATATTTTGTACAAATAAAAACGGAACCCTGGCAATGTTTCTCAAAACAAAAGGAACACGATTTCTACGAAACACAAAAAGAAATTTGTGCACTTGTGGTTTTCTGTTTTTTTAACATTTAAATCAGTTTCCTTCTTTATACAATTATCACACTCTTTACTCTTGCTTTTAACCAAATTCTTTTTATTTTTCTTTCTTATAGGCGGCTCATCATCACTTAAACTACTGAGACTATGTAGATCCGAAGTGGAGTAAAATTCGTCTTTATAGGTTCTTCTTCGTTTTTCGGTAAATTATTTTCTAAAAATGAATATTTAAAATTTTATTGCATTTAACACATTTAAGTGTCAATATTAAATTTTATTTCATTAAAACATGGGAAGCAGCCAAAGCAAATTTAAACCAGGACGCCTCATTGTTGGCATAAGATGAAAGTGATCGGCGGCCAACCCAAATTTTTGCAATGCGCTTTGCAGGCCATAGTGAACCTCCATGAATCAACAGGATCTTCCCAAGGAAGAATAATTGACTACATCCAAGGTGTTATCAATGCCAAACAGATACGTCCAAGGCCACGAAACATTGCTATGCAAATAAAACGAGCTCTAAAGTACGCTACGCAAAACGGCATGGTAAATCATCGTGGAGGAAGATATGTGATGGCACTGTCTGACAAGGACTTTGCCATTTTCAAAGGTCTTCGACCAAAAGATCTTATTAAAGTGAATGTCAAGCCCAGAAAAATAGTACGAACTCCAAAAAAATCAAAACGCCGTCCATCCAAATACAACAAAAAGTATAAAAGATACAGCAGTTTAGCCTATGATGATTCTTTGGAAGACGCTCGCATAAAAAGTAGAAAACGAAGAAGAACCTATAAAGACGAATTTTACTCCACTTCGGATATAGATAGTCTCAGTAGTTTTAGTAATGATGAGCCGCTTATAAGAAAGAAAAGTAAAAAGAATTTGGTTAAAAGCAAGAGTAAAGAGTGTGATAATTGTATAAAGAAGGAAACTGATTTAAATGTTAAAAAAACAGAAAACCACAAGTGCACAAATAATATCGTTAAAACCAATAGTAATAAAGGTAATAATAATGTATTCACAAAAAGAAATATGGAGAATGATCACAGGATCTTTATCGAAATAAAGATATAAACGAACTAATAAAACGAAACACATTCAGAAAGAAACATGGGTAGACTACTTTCGATCCTTTTGTTTCGTTATAGAACACCTACTTTGATAGCGTGCAGCTCATGGTATTTATCGTAGTGCTTTACCAGGAAGTATCTATCGGATGGGTAGGGTTTAAGAAGTGGAAAGAAAGGATATAGGAATTGTTTCTTTATCTCATAAATTAGGCCTTCATCCCAAACTTATCGAAGGATTGACTTACGTCTAGGAAGGCTGCTGAGAGGTAGGATTTTACTTACCAGTACGCAGGAGATTTTTTACTATTCTGTGGACCTGCTTGATTGTCCCATGCTTTAAACTGAAACCGAATTGGCGGCCTGGATTAAGTTTAGTTTTGTATATGATCAATTTTATCAATAAAAGCTTTTCGAATACCTTTGATAAAGCTGGCAGCAATCCTGTAGCTGGTCTACAGGATTGCAGGTCTTTTTTTTCTGTCAGGTTTTTATGTCAGGATAATCTATAAAATTCGAAAAAGGTATTAATCCCGTTATAATTGTTGGTGGCATTGGATTTCTTTAGTTTAAAAACTTTTACTAGATGTTCAGTAAAGATTGCGGTTTTTTTTGTTACCTTTGGCTAATTTAACCTGGTTGTCTTATTTTTTTGTTGCCTTTCAGAGTAAGTAGTTCGTATTTTTAGACACTGCAAGGGAATCCAGAAAATTTTTGATACCTCTGTTTTTGATATTATTTAGTAACTTTGTTAGATCTTTTCTAGCTCTGTTTAGTTTTGTTTTATCGCTAGCGAATGTAGGTATTTCTAGGTATATTCTTTCGTAGATGTCTCTTCTCTAGTATTTTTTTTAAAACATGTTTTTTATGTGTCAAGATTTTTTTCGAGGTAAGAGTAGTCAATAGTCAAAGTTACCACCCATGCTGCTTTCTGTATAGCTATTGTGAATTCTTTTGCTGCATCTTCTATTTCTTGTAGCGTTTTTAACGGAATTTGCAGACTGATTTGTGCATCTAGGTGTACCCTAAATCCCAACCAATTTATTTTTTGATTATATAGAGTTTGTTTTGGTTTTAAATAATTTTATTAGGCAATAAATAATATCCTGGAGAGGAGACTCAACCTGAAAATTATTTTTACTTATTCCTTTTATGCTCCAAAAATCTAGTAGATCGAGTAGTTTTCTTGGATCGCTGGCCCAATACGTTGGTTGGTCAGTACTTAAGTATGTTGACTTTTAAGGGGTGCAAGTTATTCGCTGCTCTTAGTTATTAGGACCCTGAATATTTTGTAGACGAAAGTAAAAATCAGATTCATGATTGTACATATTTCATATGTAAGGTCTTTAATCAGCCTTTGTAATTCGCTGGATTATTTTCATGAGTTCTCCTAACGCAATATTTTATAAAATGACTCTCTGTGACAAAAATCTTTTATGTTTTCATATCCTTGACATCGCAAGCACTTTGGTATCTCTCTGTTGGAGTATGTTGCTTCAAAAACTACATTTGAGTGCATAAGATGTTTTGCTTTATATATATCTTTGTTATTTTCATTTTGTTTTTGTACTCTTATAAAGAACATAGGTAGTGAGTGGTTTTAAGTGGATCTTTCTTTTATATTCCAGATGTTTGTCAGTTTATGTTCTAAGCCTTTTAAGCTTTTTTCTATATCTTTAATGTTTGTTGATAAGTAGATGTTCTTAAGTACTACTCTAAATGTTTTTATTTCTTTAGTTTTATATGTATCATATTGCGTATTATTTTCATTTAGAATTTTATGATTTTAAAGTAAATTTCTCTATCTTCAACCAGTATTTTTATCTCCTCTGTACCGGAGTTATTACTGTATAATTAACCTGCAATGTCTTCATCTAGCAGTATCATGAGGGGATTTATATTTTCTATTCCAGTGACAAATATTGGTGTTAGTTTCTGCTCTTTTTTGGTGCTTTTATCTGGTAGGTATTTTCCTAGTTTATTTTTCTGACTCTTTACTGATCCTACTAAACCAATTAGCCAGTATTTATTAAGTTTGGTTTGTCTCTACTGTAAACTGTAGTATTTGATTTTCTAGTTTCTTTCTCTGGACTTTTCGGACGTTTCCTACAGGGAACTACATGCCATTCGTTATTAGGGTTAGATGAAAGTAATGACGGAAATGAGGTAGTATATAGAATTTGGTTTGGTATCTGTGGAATAGACAATTGCTCAACAAATGGGGGTAAAGTATTAGATGTAGTTATTTAATATTGTTGTGGATATTTATTGTAGATCTGAATTTGAGAAAAGCACGCCATTGACTGGCTTCCACGAAACTCGGACTGCATTATAGGTACAAATGTTATTTGATTTGGATATAACTCTGTTTTTGTCCTACTAAGCTTTGAACCTTTTTGAATTTTCCGGTCTCTGCTCTAAACCAATTTCAGTATTTCGTTTTAAGGCCACGCCATCAGCATACATTAAAAACCCTGTCGTTTCAGGGATGAAAGTTGATGATCTAATTTCACTCACTAGAATAAATAAGCACTTAGCCTTAATGCAATTCTAGCTTCACATGAAATTTATCAGTCTCTTCACTTCTAACACTAGTTGTTACTCCCTCATACATCCCCTCACAATCTTCATGTACTCACCGAGAGTAAAACTATTTTTTAAAATCAATGAATATCATATGCGGGTTCGTTTCTAAATTCCTTAATTTTTCCATCAACTGTCTTATAATAAAAACTGCGCCTTCTATTGTTAATCTGCCTTGTATAAATCCAAACTTATTTCAAACATATTTTTATGGGGTGACCATTGATTATAAGCTACTATACAGTACTATGTGTGATTTTTAATCAATAATGTGACTAAATAGTTTCATCGTTCTATAGTTTTTGAATTGTATATCTCTATACATCTTGTACACTTGTACATCCAATATGAATTGGCAATGATCTGTGAGCTAATATTGTAATCCATTTCAGCAATTCAAAATCAAATTGTATTTGTTACGTACAAAATAAATATGTTGTTTATTGACCATTCTGATTTCCGATAAAGAACATCACAAAAACATGTCTTTTAACAATTCGCTTAATTACCGTTTAACAGGGTTTATTTTAATTATCTATTTCGATATATCAAGCTATAACATGTATAGCATACTCTAATGCGCTAATAGAATAAAATATTTGTTAAAGATTCAAATTATATACAAAAGTCTAGTAAAATATAAAGATAGTTAATATTACTTTTTATTTTCTTCAAATTGATACTCTTAAACATGGTGAAATTCACTCCAAATTTTATCTTTATAGATTATATTTCACTTTTTATAAATACCTTAAGAAATAAAACGAAAACCTGTATGTGATCTATTTGTATTCTTAAATTTCTAGGAAAAACGGGATGTCGAGCAGAAACCGCCAATTATTTACGAGATGAATGTCAACTCAAACGTTTCTAATCGTTTTGCGACGACAGTCATCGAAAGCAAAGTCAAGAATGCATACGCTGTACCCCGAGAAGCTGTCTTTTCTGTAATTCTTCCAGAACAAGCATTTATTTCTGAGTTCGTAATGATAATAGGCGGAAAAAGTTACAAGGCGTATGTCAAAGGAAAGGAAGAAGCTAAAAATATTTATGACAAGGTAAGTTTTAAACCTCTTAAGATACTTTTATAAAAAACTATAATGGAGAAAGAGAGTATAAAGTATACTTTATTAAATAATAAAATAATTCCTATTTACTTACGGTACACACTGTGTGTCACCCAAATGGAATAAATTAGCTAGTAAATAAATGAGGGAGTATTCTAAAAAGTGGTTGAACACGTCGATTATAGTTGCGCATTTTTTCCATAAAAACTTTTTATACGGGGTGTATCAGATAACGGTGGCCAATACTAACTTGCTTATTTTAAATAGAACACCCTGTATTTTAATTTATTTTTAGATTTCTCAGATCATTTTAGACATTTTTGAATACAATGTCCTATACTTATCTTTGACTGTTTCGGAAATATTAAGTAAAATGCAAAAATTCACATTTAGAAAAGAAAATTATTTATTTGCAGAAATTGGCTACAACATATTTAAAATTTGGCGACTTGGCAACACCCTAACCGTGAATAAAAATTTCTTCTAAGGTTACTTAACATTTCAGATGTGATCAATCTAATCGCAAGCATTATTCGTCTTCGTAAGTCAGCTAAGTCAGTTTTGTATACAATACTGTTCACATATCTCCATAAGAAAAAGTTTAATGGCGTCAAATCGGGGGATCGTAGTGACCATTCCATCGATCCTCGTCTCCCTATACACCGATTTGGAAATATTTGGTTGAGGTACTGCCGGACCTTGTTGAAACCATATCATATTCGCTGGAGCTTGTGGGTTTCCTGGATCAGGATAACAAGTTGGCCAACGTTGGCACTATATTATTTTGAAGTAATGCCAAATAATTGTCGCCATTTAAATTGCCATCTATGAAAAAGGGACGTAAAATCTAATCATCCATAATTCCTGCCCACACATTAACCTTCTCAAGGTATTGAGAAATGACTGTGAAAGGTAAAGGTACACTTATCAGAAAACAAAACATGTTCTAATTGGATCACATTGCTGTCTAACATTGCCATCATTAGTTCACAAAAATACGTTCCTCTGTCAAAATCCTGGGTTTGTATAATTTTATAGGGATGCATTTGGTTTTCTTGTAATATTCGAATAACCGATGAATAGCTAATATCGAGTACTGGGGCTGCTTTTCGAAAAGATATATGTGGGTCAAAACAAAATGATGGTATTAGATTTTGATTTGATACAGAGCAGCAACAAGGCGCATATACGTATTTCGATCTCTTTAGATCTCCTCTTATATTTTCAGACTTCGGCCCTAGTGCCAAACAGTTCACATTTAACACAACGTAAAATAAAGTGCCATTAAATACAACAAAGTATTATTATTACAAGTTCGATGTAGAAATCGTTTTTAACGAAGCATTATTTAATCCAAGTCCAACTACTTAGTCAGTTCCAACATCTGGCCTGCTTCTTGTGTTATAGAAAGTGGCTAAGGGGGGCCTATGTCCAAGATTGGAATTAGATCAAATTGATTTTTTTGGTCAAAATACAAAAATTGTTTTGTTTGTGATCAGTTAAGGGAATATCGACAATTATTACATACAAACATTAAAAAGTTTAAGTAAGATCTATGCGACTTTAAATATCATAAACAAAAATTTATTACCAACAATTTGAGAAACGAGAAACACATTAAATAAAAATATAAAGACATGAAATATGTACTATTGTGTAAAAGCTGTATTTAGATACTTTGTTTTTAAATAGGAAAAATAATTAAAATCGCTTAAACGATAATAGGTGAAAACTTTTTACTTCATATGGCAAAAAGTTATACAACATCAGTCCAATTTGTTTATACTCTTATAGTCCTCTTTTAGTGTGCCAAAACGGTGTGCTCTAATAGCTTCTTAAGATGGTGGTCAATCATGATTATGGGTATGTGAAGGCTTCTTCTCATTGCGCCATCTCCTTTTGCAATTTGTGGATCCAAATGACAATTTGTAGCTTTGGAAACTGCTGCACGAAATATTTCTGTGGATGAGAGTCAAACCATCTCCTCAGGTCTTTCAGCCACGAGTTCTGGCGTCCAACTGATCTTTTCCCTAAACTTTACCTTTAAATATAATTTGAAGTCATTCATATCTTTCACATCTCAACACAAGACAGTGACTACAGACTACTACAGACTACAGAAGCAGTGGAAGACTCTAATAAGGGTAATAAAGTTAACGGCATATTTATTAATAACATCAGGTATGCCGATGATACAGCCATAGTGGCAGATAACATCGAAGATCTTCAATGCCTTTTAAATGATCTAACTCTTGCAAGTGAAGCTCGGGGTTTGAAAATAAATATCAAGAAGACAAAATCAATGATTACAAGTAGAAATGATTACCCCAACGCAAAGATATATGTCTCTGGAGAAGAAATCGAACAAGTCAGGCAATTCAAATACTTGGGATGTTTGCTGAATGAGGGTTGGGACCCCGAGAATGAAATAAAGAGCAAAGTTGAACAAGCCATAAATGCTTTTTTGAGGCTTCGTAAGTTTCTGACTAATCGCAAATTGGACTTCAACTTCCGATACAAGATGCTTAAGTGTTACGTGTGGCCTGTTCTCCTGTACGGAATGGAAGCATGGACGTTAAAAGCCAGTTCCATTAACAAACTTGAAGTGTTTGAAATGTGGTGCCTGCGTCGAATGCTCAGAATATCATGGACGGAGAGGGTCAGAAATGAGGAAGTACTCAGAAGAGCGGGCTTACAGGATAGGGAACTTTTTAATTATGTAAAAAGTAAGAAGACTGCATACTTGGGGCACATTATACGAGGAGAACGATACACTTTTCAGCAACTGATACTCGAAGGCAAGATAGAGGGTAGGAGAGGTCTCGGACGTAAAAAAATGTCATGGCTGCGCAATATTCGACAATGGACAGGAATCCACAGCTATGAAATGCTTCGCAATGCTGCTAAAAATAGAATTATTTAATCCAGAATATTTAACATCTCACCTGACAAGACGATGTACGGTGGACGCCTACGCAGAAATGCACGGCACCTTAAGAAGAAGAAGATGCGCTGAAGTACCTCACTATTGTTAACTTTTTATATCCATGGAATTATCAGCATTTAAATTCTTCTTCTATTTTCTGAAAAACTTTTGAATTCTGAGATCTAGACTAAGGTCTGTTCCTCGTAAGGTTTTACTCGCTTGTTCGATTCTTGATAGGATTTCTTTTTTTGGATTACACTGGTTGTTGATATTTGTTCCCAAATATTTTATGGAAGTTACTTGTCTTGTTCCATTATTTGTCCCTTGGCATACAAGATACTTTTGTTGGTATCTTCGAAAATACTAGAATTTTAGTTTTGGAAACATTTAGATGTAAACCGAACATTTCACAATGACGAACTACCGCATTTATTATATTTTGTAGTTCTTGTGCACTGCTTGCTATTAGGACGGTATCATCAGCGTAACTGATGTTGTCTATGCTGGTTCCGGTAATCTTGATTTCACTTTGAACCTCGTCTAATGCTTTTCTGAATATCGATTCCGAATATAGATTTAATGTAAAGACTAACATATAGATTAAAAAGAGATTTTATAGCAAATAAAATTCCTTAATAAATTTGGGGAGAAATAAATATAAAAAATAATGGTAACTGTTCGTGTTTGTCACGAATTACAAGAAATATTCTGTTCTAAACTGTTGCAATTATAGAGCAATTACCTGATCAATTACGCTAGCAAGATCGTCTTGACGCTTTATAACAGCATCGATTAAAACTCAAATTTCCTGAAACTGAACACTCAAACTTTATTCTTGGAAAGTGTAACAAGCTTTTTATTATTTTTTAACTCGCTCAGAATGAAGTCTAATTAAAGTTACTTTCCACAAATAACGACTCATTTTGATCTTAAAGATACTAAAAGGTATTTGAGAGTAAAGTATGTGTTTTCCGCATTAGGGTTCTGTTATCTCGTAAATTCAAAGAGATTTATCTCTTGGAGTCTTCTATTAACCTTCCGTTACTCGCGCCAATTTGCTGTGATCGAATACTCGCGCACGGTGCAGAAGACCGGGTCCGAAAAAATGGGGTCAGTAATATTTTTTAATTTTCTTTTTTTGAAAATTATGTACAATTATATTATTTAATGAATATATGATCATATAATTTTGTAGATATGCGTTTGTTTCAACATTATATTAGTTTAATGAAAAGTTAACTAATTTTAATTGTTATCCATTTATATATACAAAAAACTTTAAAAATTAAAAAAATACATTGAATATTGTTAAATTTGTTTACTAGGAACTTCAAGAAATTAATTCAATACACAAAAAAATCAAAAATGAAGAGTAATTGCAACAAAAAAAATAAGAAATATTAATTAAAATTTTCATAACATGAATTACACAATAATGTAACATGTTCCAAACACAGATGTTTTGTGCATATTTGGCAGTAATATTTTGTTTTTCTATTTTTTCGCCAATGACAAACAGCACAGTGACCTTGAGTTCCAGGTGTTATGACTGGTACTTGTTCCGCTGGTAAGCCACATATCTCCCTAAGCCTCATTCTGATGGTTCTGGGTAAACTGGTAGACATAACCCGTACTTTTTGGTAGTCACTGGTTAGTAACATCGAGAGTTTTAGTAAAATTTCTTTACGTGGTGTTTTAGATTCTTCATCTAGATTAGTATAAACTACAAAAGAGTTTATTCCTGCTACATTCAACAAACTAAAAAAAGGAAACATGGACCATCGTCTTGTAGCACGGGCGCAGTTATATTGCGCGCATAATTTATCTACCACATCTACTCCGCTCTTCGTTTCATTATATGTAATTATCATCTCAGGTTTACCTGTGGTAGGGTCAATATCATCTCCATGGTGCATTGTAGAGATAAGTAGGACGTTTCGATTTTTTTTTTGGCATATGCGAAACCAAGGTGATTCCGTCAATAAATCCAAACATTGAAGGGCCAATGCACCTGCTGTTATTTTGTATAAATTCTAATGGCAACTGTTTTTTATTTTTTCTAATA